GTTAACATCTATTTATTTTCATACATACCATATATATGTACACAAAAATGGAAAAAATAAGAAGATTTCAGCCAAAAATCAGTTCCGTTAATTTTCAATAGCTTTTGAAATATATTTCGACATATAATTGATTGGCTAAGTAAACTAGAGTTTTTCGCTATGTTACTTTTTTCCGAACCTGTGGAATCATGGACATTTTTGTCCTTAGAGCTTATGAATTTGTGTATTACTCCACTTAGGATAGCAAGTATATATAGGCACAGCTTGAGGTCGACAAATCTGAACATTTTGCCACAACCGAAAGCTATGAGAAGGTGACCGCACCTCTTCCGATTCGGAGTGATGCGCGATCTACTTCAGCCGACAATTCACGCTGCATCCTACGGTGGTTTGCCAAACGTCAAGTGACCAGAAGGCTGAAAAACTGTAAACACCAAGTGCGCATCTTGCTTTTACCAGCGGTGAGGGTCAGCTAGCCATCGGGAAGGCGAAAGCGTTCAAAGCCATGGGAGTGGATTACCTCACCAAGGTCCTCAACCTGTTAATGGCCACTCTCATTATTCCAGACATCTGAAAAATAAGAGAGTGGTCCCACTGCTCAAAGCGGGGAAACCGGCAAACAATGGAGAGCCTTATCCCCCGATAACTCTCCTTCCCCGGTAGCGAACACAATGGAGGCCTTGCTACTCCCACATTACACGAACCACCTGACCATAGCGAAGTATCAGTCTGGGTTCGGTAAAGTGCACAGCACAACAACAGCACTTAACGCCATAAACACTCAGGTAACATATGGCCTAAACCGTAACAGCCCTTGTGAGTGAACAGTCCTGGTAGCGTTGGATCTGTCAAAGGCGTTTGACACCGTCAGTCACTCCACGCTACTAGATGACATTGAGGCTTTCTCTCTCCTATAGGGACTCAAACAACAAATTAAGCAAACTAAGGAAAATCAAACAGGGGGTCCCACAATTAATAACTTGTGCATGAAAGTAAACGGGCCTTTAGAGCTTGCGGAACTCACTAAGCTAGAACATGCTTTACTTGTCATGCTCTGAATGACAATTTGTTTTTTATGAGAAGCTTTTTTATGACAGAAATGCACTCAAGTGTTTGTTATTGCCTGCCGAGCGACCAGAAATCGAACCTGCGCATCTCTTACCACTCAACGAGTTTCTTGAGTAGACCATTTAAGGCAACTCCTGTTTCTATAAACCACTCGTATATCCTATAAGCACACAAAGCATTCGCTAACGACCTGTATACTATTTTTCTATTGACTGAGTTTTATTAAAATTTTGGATGCACTATCCACTCATAGTTTTTTAGACAAGCTTAAAGGAATGGAAATTACCTCCTAGTACAAATTAAAGTTTTTTAGAAAATTCAAATTTGAAAAAATACTGTTTTTATTTTAATTTTTAGAAACTTTCATATTGGTGACATGAAGACTTTGCCTAAGAAGACTTTAGTAAAACTTTCCTAATAATTCTCTAGAACATTATAATAGAGGTGGGTAACTCAGAACTGTGCTGATTTACTGTGCTGACTCTTAGAACTGTGCCGCACGCTCAGACTCACTTCTGAAAAAGTTTTTAACTCAGTAACTCAGTTTATGTGCTGACAATGTATAGCTCAGTGTGCTACAGAGTCGATATGGTAACTCAGTTGATGTGCTGACACTTGCATAGCTCGGTGCGGCTTGCATTGTTTAGAACTGTGTCGATGTGGTAACTCAATTGATGAGCTGACACATTCACACAATACGATCTTCCAAAAAGTACCATAATAGATGGCATCACTAGACTAACCATCAATTGAATATACGATTTCCAAATTTAACAAGAAGCAAGGCGAATAGCCCAGTTATGCATACTTGCACTGTTATACCATTTTTACGTTAAAATCAAAACCAAACAGAATTCTACATGTGAAGTGCTATGCGTTGGGTAACCGCTTACATGCATAGCCCATTTAACAGATTCTTGTATGACAACTCTCAAGCAAAGCTAAGTATGCATAACTGGGCTAGAAGTTAATACATCCAAGGGGAATTATTTTGCAAATGAACTCACCAGTTGAAATCAGCTTTCTAAAATTTTGCCGGACAGCTACGAACAGAAGCTAAAGATAATCTTTTCTAAATCGATTTCGATTACTAACATCATCAAAAATTTCGATGTACATACCAATTGTGCGATAGCACACTTGTGCCAGCTCACTGTGCTGACTCATTAAAGTGAGTTGGAGTTACTGAGTCAGCACACCAAAATTTACAGAGTTACCCACCCTTACATTATAAGCTCTCACAACCTTCCAAGTTTGCTTTTTGAAGGGTTTCTTGGAATATGGATCAAAAAGACACCTACAGGCTGGAACTGACGGTTTAAAATGTTCTACGAAAATATTTCTCAAGAAATTTTAACTTTTAATTTCGCTCAGACATTTATTTTAACAATTTTTTGCACATTTTTGAAAACTGCTTAGGCCGGTAAATGAAAACTTTAGTAGGCCATAAAATAAAGCTAGCGAGCTAACTTTTGCAAATCCATCGAGTGTTTTACTACTGCATAGATATACTTTCAGAAAATGTTAACATAGTCCGGGCTGGTTACGGCTGTCGCACAGTATAATTTTAACAGTTTATGTTAATGAAATAAAAAAAAACCTTTTTTATAAACTCCTTTCGGTTTCGAAGGTTACAATTTTTTGGTTGAAAATACAGCTTAGTTTAAAAAAAAATATGACAACACTGCACATGGCACTAAAAAATTTACCATATCATCCACTCACCTGATTTATGATTTCCGCTTTGTATTCCTGATAATTGCTAGCTGTTACAGTGCTCGCCAAAGAGGAAGTAGAACCGGCACGTGGTATTGTGGCACAACCATGTGGTGACAATAGCCAATCCATGGTATTTTGACTATTATTTTTACGATTCTGCAGGAAGATTTCATTATCCAATGAAGATGACTTCAACTTCGTTGACAATTTCTTATTTTTCGTATTATAAAAGCTATTTTGTTGTTGTGGTTGTGTCGGCTGTTGTATGTGAATATGATAGGAGAGTTGATGTGGTAGTAATGGTGGTGGTGGCGGCGGAGGTGGTGGTTGCTGCTGCTTCAAAGTCGGCGAAGGCATGTGAGAGGTGTACAGTTGTTGTTGTTTTTGCAGATGTGGTATATGGCTTTTAGAAATGCTGGTTGAATTACTATCTTCACTTTTACGCTTTGCGCATAGAGATCTTTAACATTTAAGTAATTGAATTTTTTTCGTATAGAAATCTTGTTTGATTTTGTTGAAACAGCTGTTGATGTGCGCTCACGGTTTCGCCCTGCTAAATAAGCAAACTTGCTTCGGCTCTATGAGTACGTTTAGCTTAGCGCTTGCCGCCGTCTTATGGCGTGACCTTACTTGTTATTTAAGATTGTGTCTTTGTTATATTTTTGTGATATTTTTCACATTTTTAACCATTATACTCGTATTACTTGTTTATTGTCGTAGAAGCAAAGTGTTTGCTTTATGTTTTTATGATGTCTGTTGCACTCGACGAGTATCTACTATGCGTTGCGCGATTTTTCAACTCCACATTTTCCACTGGTTAGTTTTGTTTTTATTTCATATTTTTTAATTGTCGCCCAACCTTCACTATTTTTCACTTATCTATTACACATTCGTTTTTGTCAATTCCACAGCTTTCTCACAGCGACAGCAAGCAACAATGCGCTCGCTTTATGCCTATCAGCTTTTTAGGTTTCCCATTTACCTGCTCGATGACTTTTGCGATGATCTCGCCTTCTCAACACTGATCTCAATCTTTATTTTGCGATCTCAGCTGTGCTGGCGGCTGGCGGCTAGCGACGTTGACGGCGATACGGCTGTGAGAAGACAACGGACGCAAGATGTCAGACGAACTTTCCAACACGTCGCTCGAGTGAGCTCAAGTTTTGCAACGTTCAAAATGAATTTTTTTATGTGCGCTTTCGTTATAAATTTCGTACTTTGTCGACTTTTGATAAAGCGAACGAAAAATGTATATTCTACTCTTTCAAACGTGAGTGTTTTTTTTTTTGTTTTTCCTATTTACCTACATGCTTGCTTTTCGCCCTAATCCACACTCAAAGCCGCGAATTCGTACATTAAATTTTATTGTTTTTTTTTCGTTTCGTTTGGTGATAAAATGAATGGTGGAAGCAAAATAAAAAAGTCAAGAACGCAAGTGTCAAAGGAAATTGCAAAACCCGAGAAAGATGAGAATCCACAATTGGCAAGTGTGGCGACTTTAAAGCCGCGCGCGTTCGCGTGCTAAGCAACTGATGATAATAAGAAACGGAATTAAAAAAAAAGGAAATTAAAAAACAGCTTTAGAAACCGATCTCACTGCGGTTGCGCTCTGCTGCATTTATTGCTTATTTTTTTACTTTTGTTATTATTATTTTTTTTGTAACACTTTCTAGTCACAATATGCGCTCCGCGGTGCCGCGTCATAAACAACCGTACTACACTGACGGCACTGGCTAGAAGACTGGACTTACATATGTGGGGCTAATGGTAAGCTGTCTAATGCGAACGCCTAACAGCGGCGAGAGTAGAAAAAGTGCGCACAGGTGTGTGTGAGTGAGTGGTTTGTGAAATAGGAGCAGCAGTCGCCGTCAGTGGAGGCAATTGGGGTGTGCAATGCGCCAATGATCAGTTGGCGCAAGTATTTAGCAACAGAAAAAAACCTTAATCAGCTGTTTGCTTGTTGGAGCTTTGGCGCTGTCAAATTTATGCGCGTAAGAAAGAGTTAACTGTATTTGGTCGACATGTGCGCTACTCTACTTTGCTTTTTGAACACAAAGCTGTTGTGTCGCAAACCACGATCAGCTAAGATACAAACCAGTTGCTGAAGCTTCCAACTGTGCGCTTCCTTTTCCTATGTAGATCCAAACTTCCAAGTGTTATGTTTAAATGCTGCCTTTTTACTGTTAATCATTTTTTTAGTTTATTATTGATTCTTCACTAATTAGCTTAATTATTAATATACTTTAAAAAATGCTTACTTAATCTACATAAGTAGTATATAATAAACTTATGAATACATACATATCTAGTTTTTGCTATGATGTCAGACGGTGATACACTTTTGGTATCAAATAAAAAAATACAAATCTTAAGACCATATATAGTACAAATAAACCGAAAATGCAGCCAATAATAATCGTAGTCCATTCCAAGGAACTAAAGCTACTCGTCACTGGCAGTACGTGTGTGTTAAGGCCAAGCTAAAAATATATGAAAAATGCAATAGAAGACATTAATATACAAATTATCTAAAAATCTTAATTTTAAATATTTTTATTGATTTTGTGGAATTTTTTTTTATAGAAATTAAATAATACATAGAAGTGGTTGTTTATGTATTGCGAATGGATGCAATAAAATAAATTGAAAATTGAAAAATGGTTCGCCTTAAATAATAAATTTGGAGCTTTGTCGCGTAAAGAGTTAGAGTGTCTAGTTGAGTGTGCGTTCGAACCCTAAGTAGATTTACAAGATACAACATTTAAGATGCTAATGCTTTTGGCGAATCTAAAAAGTGCCTGTGTGGCGATTATCTCATGTCCCACCATGACCAGATCACATCAGCTGGGCTGTGTTGCATTTATGTACCAGAGTGTTCCCACTTCCGACTTGACTCGTTCAGGATAAACTCCCTTATCATCAGCTTGCAGATAGCGTGCTGCAAGCCTAATCTATTCCAGGCCAGTGAAAGTGGCAAGGAAGTACTCTTTCTAGCAAGCTGGTCTGCTTTCTTGTTTTCTGGTTTGTTCCAATGTCTTGCAAAGCGAGCTGTACGCAAATTGCAAGCTTTAGAAAGCGAACTCACCGTTTTCGAGTTTATCGTGACGCAGACAAGTGCTCTTATGGCAGCTGGCGACTGTCGAGGCTCTGTGAATTATGTTCCCGTGTATTAAGACCGCAATCAAAAAATTAAAATAAAAAAGTGAAATTAGGCCAAAAGATCCAAAAATGAATTGGGAAATATGCGGTTATGTGTACAATGGTTTTGTGATAGGGGCGGAGGAAGAAGGGGTGTGGCATTTAAAACTTCGCGCATTGGAAAGAGAATTTAACAAAAGTTGCCCTTTCCCTCTCTGGCCCCTCTAACGAACTCTGGGGACGCATTTGAAAATGGGATAAAATTAGCATTTTGACAAAGAAAATGTAAACTCGGGTTACGCAATTCACCGTATTTTTGCTCAGTGCACCTTTCCGCGGTGGCGGCTTTTGGCCGTGCTTAAAAAAATAACCTTCATCATTCTAACTCCGGCTACGCTGACCACATTATTTTTGGGCAGACATAACTCATTTTAATAAGTGAAATGAGGCCGCCGAAGAAATAAGAGGGCGACTTTAATTCACGCGGTCTTAATTCCATCCCTCGACTGTCTGCGTAGATGCAAATTAAATTTGTTGTGGCAACATTAGACGTTGTCTACTTGCAGCTTCTTGTATACCCGCTAGTTCGGCCCGAAAGACAATGGTTTTGGAGGCATAAAGACGGCACCATTCTGAGTGGCAGCCTACTCTATTATCAAGGTTGGATCCAACAGTATAGAATCCAATCGAAATCTCATAAGCTCCGCAGTTTTGTAGATAAGGCATTCCACCTTGCGACTACTTGACTTTGCATGACCTTATCGATCTCATTCTGCTCGCGCCAGTTGCGCGACCCTCCGTAAGACTCAACGTCTACGCTGCAGTGATTAGACATATCACGCGAAAGCAGCTTTTCAAAGCCTTCTGTAGATTTTATTTGAACGCGCACAAGATAAAAGCTCTCTGTGGTCGTCGCTGGAGCAGATATTGATATGTATAATTTCCATTTATGGCTTCTTTTTTTTTGTTAAATAAATTCTCTCACAAAGTTCAAGTTGAGTTCACTCACCCAACCGCCATTATCATTGATCCATGATACCAATTCATCCTCGATAACCTCCGAAACGCCATCCACCAGCTTGGGTACATATTCTGGATGACCTTGACGCACAAAATCCACTGAAAGTCCACCGGCAATGGCAAACAAAGAAATCACTTTACTCCAAGTTATTTCCGTGCGAAATAGATCGCGTCCAACAGCACCCAAGAGCAGTGTAATAGTTTCGGCTGAATGAAATTCACCACCCGGAGCACGACAAATTTGCCGTGCAACGCCTGTGTAGACGCGCGGATGCATACGCTCCAACTCATCACCGAGCTGTAGAGCAAAGACATGAGTGATGTTTAGTACTTAGAAAATAATTAAATAAATATGTACATCAGTAAAATAGCTCACCACCATTACAGCGGGAAAGACCTCACGCACTATATCCATTGAGGATGTGCCAAGTATGCTACGTATGCGTTGAAAGCCCAACTTTTTATTGAATAAGCCCGACCGTCGCAAGCGTCGTCGTATGTATTGACCACAAATGCAGCGTCCCTATTTTGTTTTTGAAATTTGAATTTTTAATGCCTTATGGGTTATTATTTCTGAGCGTAACACTCATACATATGTACATACCTGTGATATGATATCTTGTGTGGGTATTTGTGTTGCTTTCCAGCCAATTGTATAGGATAATTTGCGTGTGACCACATCGCTCACATTGCTGAGCCGCCGTCTTGTTATATTTTGATTTACCTCCAACAAAGAGGCGGAACTAAGTGTTGCCGGAAAACTGAATTTTCGCCGATTCTGCGCCTGCAGCAGGCGCTCACTGTGTGAAGGAAAGCCGAAGTTATCACTGTTCATTGTTTAAGCTAAAATGGAATATAAAAAATATTTCACATAAATTAAATATTATTTTTTTAATATTTTTGTTTTTAGTCAAAGACTGAGAACAAAAAGTATGATCGAAACTAAATGTCGTTCTCGTAGTTTTTACCCAAGAACGCTTCAAAATAAAAAAAAAAAAAAAAATGGGAACAAAACTGCCCAGAACGTTCTCAGTCGGAATGATACATATAAGAAGAAACCCCTGTGCTAGGTTCCCAAGGAGAACAAAATTCGAACAATAATTTCGGGAACGATTCTAAGAGAACAAAATGAGAATAATTGTCAGCAGCAAAGAACGAAACGGGAACAAAAGTCTAAGAAACTTCCTCTCGAAGAACAATTTGTTAGCTAAAGCCTGAGGAACTTACCGACAGGGAACGAAACTGGAATAAATCTTCTCTGAACTATTCGCTAAGAATGGAAGCGGGAACAAAAAACGAAAGACTTAAGACACGAACTTTTCGTGCACTGAAAATAAAAAAATGGTTCCATAAATGGACAGTACAACCAAATGATAGCCAATCTGTAAGCTGAAACGAGCCAGCTTTCCTCTGGCTTAAAATTAACAATCACGCCCTTCTCATTCTTAACGTTAAGCTCTCAAGCTCTAAGCTTTTGTTCTCTAGCTAAACGTTGCCCAGACTTTTATTTGATCTTTCTTGAAAACGTTCTGGGTACTTTCGTTCTTAATTTATTCTCATTGGAAGCGTTCTCGAAAGTTTCGTTTTCCTTATGTTCTTCTTGAGAACGTTCCAGAACCTCTTGTTCTAATTTTGTTGCCGTTCAAGCTGCTCTAAAACTTCTGTTCTCGTTTGGCTCTTCTGTGATAACGTTCTTGCCATTACATTTTGTTCTTCTGCCGAACTAAACCAAAACTGGAACTCGTCCTCGATCCCTGGTTTTAATTTAATAATTTAATGAAATCGAATTACTCGATTGTTATGACAGTGCGAATGGGATTAGATTCGTTAAAATGGCATCCATGAAATACCGGAATAATCATAACTGTTTTATCAGACTGCAGTTGACTACCGAGACATTTGGAGCGAATTTTGGTTCTTTGGAGCTCCCAATAGTATCAGAGCCAATTAGAGCGGTACGGGATCTCATGAGTAAGCTTGTGCTGATGCCTGAAATGTCATACAGGAGCTGATAAATTTACTTCTCAGACAGAGAAGGAGTGAGCTAAATTTTAAATTTTATACATGATCTGATTTGTCAAACAAATAATAAATTAATATTATATAAGACGGAGGCAGTCCTAGTCTGTGAAATCTACACAAAACCTGCCATAAAATATCTTGGCGTAATGATTAACGCGAGACTAACATTTAAGGATCATCTCGAATATGCCTTTGAGAAAGCGTGTAAGGTGGGTAGCGTCTTCACGAAAATGCTGCTAAACCTCGTAGCCTATAGAAGGTTGCTAGCCTGGATTCTAAAATCGCAGTGGAGGTTAAGTCATATTTGCGGCCTCGGGTCAATCTACCGGCTATGTGCAATATCGATAGAGCTTCTGGCGAAAGAACTATCCATGCATACAACGCGTTATTTTACGCTTCCTGCTAAAGAAACATTAGCCCGTAAAATCGCGCTAGAGACAGAAGAAATGAGATGAATCCACTAGTGGACGCTGGACACAACGTCGAAGAATCGTCGCACGACGAAGTGAATTTCCATTTAACTTATGTAGGTGCTCACAGGCCAAGGATGCATCAGATATTACCTGAAACGTTTTCAGGACGAATACAATTTCACCATTGCAACGTGTTGTGATGGCCGTATCGAAGACGTCGAGTTTGCTTTATTCCACTGCCCTAGATTGGATCTGCAGCTCGTTTCTGTAACAATTCTCTCATATTTACGTATATGAATTCGCCGCCTTACTCTCTACTGCTAATGAGAAGTAAAGAATGACGTATATTCTCTAACAGTAGAGAAATAATCGGTAGAGAAGTGTTCCGTGCTCCGTTTTTGGGGGACAAAACTACACCAGAAAATATAGTAGACCATATGATAGAATCTGCAGTGAACGGTGCAGTCACGTTCAATTTGACTCAACTGAGAAGAGATGAGCAGCGCCGAAATCGACGACACATAACTACGTTCAGATGAATGATCTATCACCAGGCGTGATACTAGCAGCTGAGGCAAGAACAATCTGCAATGCAAGAAGGTAAGAGGCGTTACGAAATAGGCGGATGCGACATGGCGGACGGGGATGCATGAACCCGACAAGGCAGGGTGCTTTTTCGAAGATTAAGGACAGCTCCAAGTTGATGCAACTTTTAACGGACAGATATGAACGCAGAGCTCAACCACCTCCCGACGAAATACTTGACGGTAGTACCGGTAGGATAACGGAACATGTTGGTAAATAATTTAGTTTGGCTTAAAGTCTCACTCTGACGGGGTTAGGCTATCGATCTTCGTCCTCATAAAAAAAATAATAATAAAAAAAATATATACACAAGTAAAAATGTACACCTGCTCTACGTATGTATGTACCGTGTATGTGCGTAACAATATTAACTTACGCATTTGCTATTTAATGACATTATTACAACGATTCACATGCGGCAAAAACACGCACAAACAACTGTCAAACGACAATAACCGCAAAAGAAATCAAGACGATAAATAGGTTTGCTGTCGACAAGAGCTGACAAGAGAAGACATTTCATTAAAAATGATACATTGCAAAAATTATGAGATTTACAATAATAATACGAGTAATGCATAATAGAAAACTAGCATTAACTGCAGCCTGCCGCCATTGTAATGCAATTCGCGCATTCCCTTTCCGGCTATGTAGTTGCATCGCTTTACGAGATGTACGGACATACATACATATGCACGTTGATGAGTGTTTGAGGTGCCCATTTATGGTGGCGCTGTTCGAGGATTTTTATTGTACATTGATTGGTGTAAGACGAAAATGGCCAATGAGTGAATGTTAGCTGGATGTTATGTGGTGCGCGTGCGGCGCAGCTGGTGGCATGCAACAATGGACTCGGAGTAAAACAAAAAAAAAACAACAAAGCCACTGCAACGTTGGCGGTTGTGATTGGATGTGGTTTTTGCGTGCGAATGCGTATGCCTATTCGTCTTCGCGGCTTTTGAGGAATTCCAATTTGGCAAATATGTACGTTCTTATGTGTGTTGCTCAGTCTCAGAGGAGCATCTTTTGCAGTTATTTTGGCCTTTTGCAGCGCTTCGTTAGCTATTCGAATGTCCATGGTAAGAGAGCTGTCACTGTAAGCGAGATGTCAACGCAAAAGTCATTTGTTTGGTATGCTGTTGTGACAAAATGATGTTGTGTTGGAGTTAGCGGCACAAAAACAAATTTTTCAATAAAAAATTTGCTATTACATATACATATACATTAGACCGTAGCACCTTACAAGCAAACAAAAAAAAGTTCACCCCTGAGAATTTTTGCAAGGGAATTTGAAAAGAATTTTTTTTTGCTCGAACCCAGGGGTCACTTTTCGATTACACCTACAACCAAAAAATGTGTTTGTTTTAATTGTTCTACTAGAATAATCAAAATACATCCTCAGAAAAAGTTTAATAATTTTTGGGCTTTCATTTACTGACATTAGGGTGGTACGTAAGGGGTTATAAGAACTGAGATCTGGTGTGTAAGTACTAGAACGGGATATTTGAGGTCAATGAACTTTGGAATATAAAAAATTGGCGTTGAGACAGAAACATCGATATGCTATACCTAAAGATTCAACTTTAAATGCCGAAGATATGAAAAAAATTTACAAAAGGCGAGAGTTACATTCAAAATCATTCGGGATTGCCTTCGAATCGAAATATGTATGTTTAAAAAAAAAATTTGGAGAACTTTAATTTATTGGTATTAGGACGGTGCGTTAGAGTGGTAGGAACTGAGTTCTGATGGGTAAGTACCAGAGCAGTGTACTTGAGGTCAATGAAATAATTTTCTCCTCGAGACTGAAGAAAGTATTATAAAGTTAGAAAAGGCCCATTTTTCAAAATGGATGCATTTTTTTGTAGTTTTTTTTCTTACTTTCCTACGCAATCTATTACATACACTGCCGGCAAAAAGTATTGGCTCAGATGCTTTTTTACGATATACGCAACAATTTTTATTGTAATATTTTTCCGAAATTTTTTATAAAAATATGTTTCATTCCACAACGAAAAATAAAAAAATATAATTTCTAAACTTTGTGCAAAACTCGCGAAAATTAAGCCAATTTTCATGCAAATTTTCAACTTTTTAATCAGGGTATGCAGATTTGTAGCCCAATCAATTTTATTGCAATAAAGTAGAAGTTCTAAGTAGCTACAAATTACCGTTGATTTTTGGCAATTTATTTTCCCGCAGTCTCTTCCATACAAAAAAATGTTTCGAAAAAATTACAAAAAAATTCATCCATTTTGAAATATGGGCCTTTTCTAACTTTATAATACTTTCTTCAGTCTCGAGGAGAAAATTATTTCATTGACCTCAAGTACACCGTTCATATATTGTTAAAAGGCAGCTGTGCCAATACTTGTTGCCGGCAGTGTACATACGGGCATGTATATATGTAAGTGTATTCCCTTAAAGTACGAAATGGTCACAAAAACGACGAATGTGTAATTTTTTCAAGTTTTCAGGTCAACAATAGCTATAACAATTCAAAAACCGTCCTAACCTCTCCCAACAAACATTTAGTAGCACACGAAATAATTTAACTCAGCAAACGAAAAAATCGTGTTAAAGGAAAGTGCGTAGCACACACTCGTATGCATGCATACACATTCATACCTATGGGTCATTCAAAAAAAGATACGCATACGCCATGTAACACGAAAAACGTGCACTCACCAATCAGCAGTGACGACTACAGCAATGCTAACCACTGTTTCTTCTTCACTACGTCACTTTCAGCTATGCGATTTTTTTTTGGTTAATTGCAAATGAAAGTAAATTTTTACGATCGGAAATAAGAACCGCGACAATTTTCAAAAAAACAATAAAAAAAACATTGTTCGTGGTTCAAATACAAGTCAATTTTACAAGCCAACTTCCATTTCGGTTTGACGGTATAAAAACCAGCTGTGCCACAAAAAAGTTATTAGTTTACCAAAAACCAAAAAAGTGCAATGTTATCGCAAATAAGCTATGCTATTCTCGTGCTCTGCTTTTGTGCTTCAGTTTACGCGGATATTTCACATTTTCTTGCTGGCGATTATGACTACTATTCACAGCAATATCAGTATCCTGTAGCTTTAGTGCCACAACAATCCGCCGTGCCGAGCCTGTATGGTGCGCCGCCACCCGCGCCGGGAGATTTTCCTTCGAATGCTACTATTCCCGATACACCGCCTACATCTACACATTCTCCTGTAGCGCCAGTGCAGCCCTCAACTACTGAGTTCACATTGCCCGAGATTGTGGAGAATCGCAGCGCTAAGAGTGGTAGATTTAATTTTATACCATTGCGCAATCAGTATTTGACACCGGAGGAGAATCGGCCTAATTATGAGGCATCCAAGCGGCCGCCTACCTCGGGGTGAGTACAAAGGATAAGTGCTGGAAAATGCTACAGTAGGCTAATGGAATGTGCGGAGGTTAAATGAGTTGAAAAGTGGTGGTATTTTAGTTGCAGCGAATACTGACCTTCGTTGCTAGGTAGGGTGTTTAAAAGAGTGTTAACGACAAATGTTCATTAAACGTTTCCTAATGGGAGCAGTCCATATTAAATACTTTATAAGCCATTTGAGAAATGCAAAGGCGCAAGTTCATAATTTTTGTTATGCCGCATATGTTGCGGGCCCTTCATTTCGTAACATAGAGGCCTGTTGGAAAGTTGCAAAAAATAAATATGTCTAAAACTTCTTCCTTATTTCTACAGCGCCGGCTACTTTTACCCCCGTCCCACATCCACATTTATACCAATAACGAGACCAACCATCACCACTACAACTGAGCGCCCCCACCCTATTGTGGTGCTGGATCCACCAGCTATTCTACCATCCGCACAAGCTCCCATCAACAGCGAACCAATTGCACTACAGCCACCTGTGCAAGGCAGTGGACAGGGATATGATTACAATGTACCCGCTGGTCCACCATTCCAGCTGCCTCTTTCAACACCTGCGCCTGCTTATTTGCCAGCAGATAACAATACAATCGAAAGTGGTGCCTTACGCCTGCACGTACACGAAATGCGTTGCATGCAACACGCTGGCGGCGGCTATTTTCGCGCCGTACTCAAAGTGGACAGTTTCATAGGCGCAGCGCCCACAGTCGACAATGATTCGAACGACAAGCGTTGCGAGTTAAAGTTGGCGCGCAGCTTTGTGGTGGCTGATATCGTCGAGGAGGACTTTGAAAAGTGTGGCGTGCACACTTGCGGCAAGGATTTGTGTTTACGTTGGCGGTTTCCCAGCATACGCGGCATGCGCACGAGCGCAGATGGCATACTGACACTGCACTGCAAAACGCAACAGCGCGTGGCGGTAAAGACGCATGCGCTCAAAATGAGCGTGTTCAATGAGGTGTAAGTAGGCGTTTTGAATGTGTTTGCGAATAACAATGCAAAATGTATTAATGATCCTCCTAAATACCTTTGCAGACAAGCGCGCAGCCTGGGCACGTATGCGCACGGTGGGACACAGTTGCCTTTTCGCACGCACGTAGAGCTACTGCGGCGCACAGCACAGGGATATGAGCGTCAACTAGATGCAACCAGCGCGGTGTTGCTGGGTGAGGAATTACTGCTGCGCGCGCATGTTATCGCTGGTGATGGTAGGATATGCTGCGTTATTTAATTACTTTTAGAGAGTTTCTTAATCTACAACTCTTATCAACAATACACAGGTTGGAATTACACCAAACTGACAGATGTTAATGTGGAACGCGTCTCACCGTCCGGTGAGCTGTTGAACAATGTTGCGCTTATAACTCCACGCGGCTGCATTAACCCCTCCATGCAGAGCATTTGCACGCAACCACCGAGTTTCGACCCGCCACTCGGCCATCGCTTGAACTTCAAAGCTGTTATGTTTCAGGGCATGCACAGCGGTGATGAGCTCGTCATATCAATGCGTATTACTGGCTGTATGGAAGCGCGCGATTGCCATGTCGATGCCAGTGATTGTGGCGCGGTGGGCAATTTGTGGCGGCGTAAGCGTAATGTAAGCGCTCACATGGCGGGCGTGGACAACCAGCAAAGCACCGCGAATGGCAGCGAAGTGTCCGAGATATCACGCATCGCATTCAGAGTTGTAATGCCGAAAGAAGGTGTGGCAGAGCTCAAAGCTCGAAGTGGCACAGGCGCAGGCGCAGGCATGGAGCTTGAGGAGCAAGCAGCAACTGTTGCTACGTCACTGTGGGAGAGCGCAAATGACAATATGCTAGTGCAGTTGAGCGCTTTGAAATTGATCTCAGCTGTGGGTTTTGTGCTGCTGCTGACCTGCTTAGGCATATTTGCAGCGGTTAAACTGACAAAATGAGATCCTCAAGACGAAAATTCTAGTTACGTATTTAAATAACAAATTGTGGTCTTTAAGAGAAAAAGAAGAATATTAGGAATTTGACAAAGGTTACCGTTCTGCCTTTAAAAGTAGTTGTCGGTAATTAAAATGAAAAACTGAAAAACCTTTGAAAGCTTGAAGGCATGCGAAATTGCCAAAATTTCCTTAAGAAATAAATTTTTTTGTGCGGGTTATAAATTTTTTCGCCTATGGGAAAATCATTTAAAATTAATAAGGTTTTCGCCTCAAAGCATGATAAGTCAGTAAGTTTTTGAATAAAAGATATTTTTTCAGAGAAAGGCGTTTTATTTCTCAACAAAGTCTCCTCTTGTCACGATTCATTAGTCCAAAAATAAAGTTTCCTATTTTTTATACCCTGCAATTGTTATGCTTTCTCAATGTCCTAAATATAGATGTTTAGCTGTTCACTTGACCCAAATCTCTCACCATCGAACCTCGTAACGAATTTTCGTAGGCTACTTCAGTTTATTCCCAAAAACTACAAGTCCACTACAATGCCAAAGTGTTTGGTTGGTTGCCTCTTTTTCACAACCCAGATAATATCAAATCACTTCATTTTTCCAGAAAATGAAAAATGTTTGGATACCGAAAATTATTATCTGAAATTATTATCTGACGGCTTTAGTTACTCCGATCACCTGGAAACCTGATGTGGAGTTAGGTGATTTCTAAATTTTCTTTCCGACTTAAGGAATAGTTGAGTGCAAGAATATTGAGGATGTGGTAAAATTTTGAAATTAATACGATATTATTAGAGGAACGCACTACCACTCCCTGGCTTCAGCGTTCCATCACTGATCCCAGTAACATCAAAAAACAAGATTTATTCTAATACATAGCCGCCGACCCTCGGCAAACCTCGGCAGTGAAAAAGCGTGTCATGAAAACCTCAAGGCGCGCACCACAAATCGGAGGAGAAACTCTGACAAGCACTAACGGAAAAAGCAGCATTGCAGTCGCTAATTTAAATTTTCCTCAAAAACATGCAAATCGTTCAAATATTATTTTCTAAATGTTTTTCTACGACAGCCTAAAGTCGTTGTCGTTTGAAAATTTTAGTCTCCATAAATACTTTTTGAATTTAAAAGTCACGAGTCACCAGTTCTGGAAATTAGGGAGGGTGGTCAATTTCTGTGAATGCCGTAAATTTTAAGGCATTCCTCGCCACCCGAGCGATGTGAATGGGCGCACCAAATTGTTTAGTTTCTGCTGTATGACTACATCCCGTGCCTGATCCAGTAAAGCATGTAGTCAAATAATAAAATTTCCTCGGTTCACAATACACTTAAATACACATTATGAACAAAGCATTCCGACACAGTTCCAAAAAATCTTCACAACTTACTCGCCAATCGTCGCTGCTAGTGGAGCGGTGCGATCTTCTAAAAAAGGAAGAGGGTTATCAATTCTTCGGAATATGTTTTTTTTATGTCTAGCATTTTACCAGATTACGGGAACCGGTTTCGATAGTTGTGAAAGGGTGGCCCCCTCCTAAGTTGGTTTAGTTCCGCTTGCTTTTCTGCTTAAAATATACTTGTTTCATATCGTCGGTGATACTGCAAAACGTTCCATGGCAATTAATACCTCTGATGCTTAAATAATCTGTCACCGGTACCTTATCGCTTATGTTAATCGGTCATATATCTCAGCCAAAGGAAAACAGTCTCGCAATTAGTTTATGAGTTTCAACAAAATTGCATTAAATTTTCAAACTTGCTAATCAAAATTTTTAGAAAAAAATTTGGTATGCAGTTTTATAACCGTTGATTTTTGGCAACTTTATGTTGACGGTGCTACGCACTTTTTTATGTGGAGAAAATGAGCAACACCTTTCCACGGTTAGTCCTGGATGCTTCTAACTATAAAACTGCATACTCAAAATGTTTCTACATACGTTAAAAGCTCGAAATTTTGATGAAATTACATATGTGGAGTTTTTCTAATTTTTGTACAAAGTTCGAGATTCGAAATTACGTGATTTTTGTTAGATAACGAGCTATACTTTCATAAAAAATAGCAAATATTAAATAAAAAAAAGAAAATTGTCAAATTTTGTTGCGTCCTTAATTATATTTTCGCCACTGTATTTCGTTACTTGCTTATTTCTAAGAAATTTAAGTTCAGATTTATGGCTCGAAAATAAGTAGGTCGAGTTTGTAACAGTCACTTTTGCTATAGCAATTAATAGTTAATACTAGTATCTGGTGCGTGATATCCGCATCCCAACAATAACTATTAATATGTTTATAACCGAAAGCAATTTTAGTTACAAAAACAAAAAATGTATTTGAATTTAATATGAAAACCGACAGAAAAAAAATTATTTTTCACTTAAATTGCTTTCGGGAAACCGGCAGTTAATGAAATAAGTTAGAGCAAAGTCGATGGCAATTAGGCATTGATTTCCACACACTGTGACGATAACACCACAATTCAATTAAAATCGTTAATGTTATTTTTTTACATAGCTAAGGTGGTCAAAGCAGGTCGAGTACGATCAACGTATCTAAGTACATATTAGGGTAATCCTTAAATATATCAACATAAAAAATTTGTGTGGGGCATTCCTTTATTTTAATCTACGAAAATTTCAACATATTAAAAAAAGTGTTAGTGATCGCTAAAGGCTTTGAAAAGTTTTAATTTTTTTAAAACGCAAAAATTCGTCACAATTTTAACTTGAAATCCGATAAATTTGAAATTATATAATTGAAACTTGTTCATATAAACTCATAAACTCGCTGAGTTATAGCAGGTCAAAGGCCTAGTAGTGATCCCAAATTTTTTTTTTAATTATTATTTTTTTGCATGCGTTTATTTTGCACGTATGATGCTGATAATTTAGGACTACCCAAATGGTATTTTGGTATATATTTAGTACTCCTACAATATGCCGCTTATATGTTTGCATATGTACATTTAAGTGGTACAAAAATGTATGTAAAAAAAAATAAGATCGGATTTTTAATGCCGGCACCCCCTAGGATTGTTCTATATCGAAAAAAATATACCCCTATTTTTTTATTTTGAAAAAAAAAATAAAAAATAGGGAGTGCTCAAAGCGCTCAAAGTTTTCCATGTATTTTATATGGGGGAAAAACAACTTTTCGTTGAAATAGTGTAGAATTCTAGAAAATCAACAGTTTTCGATCAGAAAACTTTTCTTATCTTCAGGAGATTCCCAGTAATAATACGCAATTGTCTCCTTAACCATTTTTCCATAGTAACTTTATTTTATAGGTCCTCCAAAACCTCTAGAAAATGCAGTGGAAAAATCTTTAATCATAAAAAGTGGTTAAATAAACAATTGGATATTAATACTGGAAGTCTCCTGAAGAGAACCACAGTTTTCCGATTGAAAAATATTGATTTTTAAGAGTTTTATACCATTTCTACGAAAAATGGTTTTTTCTTCATATAAAATACATGGAAAACTTTGAGCGCTTTGAGCACCCCCTAAATATTTTTTGATTTCAAAATAAAAAAATAGGGGTATACTTTTTTCGGTATAGAACAATCCTAGGGGGTGCCGGCATTAAAATTCCAACTTAATTTTTTTGGACCACTCTAATGTACATATCTACACTAATATAAGTATTTCAACAAAACTAAATCACACTCAACAACTGTTGTCACTGTCAATTATTTTGGCCACAAACTCTTGCTTGGCAGCAACATGCACATGTCCATGTCAACAACTTTTTATGTTAGAATAATATTGTTAGAGTAAAATAGGAACAAATGAAAAATACCAAGCTTTGCGATTTGCCGCTATCAGCTAAATTTTAAAGGAGCAATAAAATATATCTATTTTTTTAATGTTTATGTTTTAGTCAACAAAATCGATTAAATATTGTATACTCGTATTAGCACAAGTTGCAGCAAGTTGGTTGGCTGCAGATTAAGGCTCTATCCACCTCTTTGTTGTACTAGACCTGACGGACCTGACAGATGTGTGTACATGCATATGTATGTACATTAGACCGCACCACTTTACAACCTAACAAAAAAAGTTGAATGAGCTTTAGCGAGTTTTAAGTTCCTGACATTAGGGTGGTACCTTAGGATGATAGGAACTAAGATCTAGTGGGTAAGTACTAGAATGGCGTACTTGAGGACAATGAACTTTGGAAATTCTCAAGAACATCGATATGTCGTAATATAAGTCTTTAAATACCGACGACAAGACGAAAAAATTTAAAAAGGCGACCCCTACTTGGGCAAATTTTTTTTTTTCCAAATTGCCTTGCAAAAAATTCTTTTTGTTTTCTTGTAAGGTGATACGGTCTAATGTACATACATATTTTAATTAATTGTAGCTGAGTAGGTTCGTTAAATTTTTTTTATCGCCTCGTCTAACCCTTGCTTTCTATAAACTTATTATAATGCTTCTTCACACAACTATCGTGCCTACCTTTGATTTATAGAGAAAATCTCAAAGCATTCCGAGTTCATCAGAAAACTTTTCACCACATATGTACGTACATATAAGGACTTTGATGTCTATAAACGTTTATTAATCCTCCTTGTAGTCACCACTCCACTTCATTTCGTTCTTCATGCTCCATGTTCAGCGCAAATAAATTCTTTAAATTATTGTTTCTTGTAATTTGCTAATGTGGCGTATACTATTTTCAAGTTATGCTTCTTTTTCTTACTGTCGTTATTTGCAATTTTTCCTTATTGCCTGGTACTACAGAATTTGTGAAGTTGTGTTTATTAAAATGCCACAATGTTTAATTGGCTTAAGCATAACAAGTACGCATACATCAATAAGTAGTTTATGTGCAAGCGCACGCACCTTATAAAATTTTATTTTTATTTAATGATTGCCATTATTGTCTTTAGTATATTTGTAGGTATCTAGTGAGGCACGTATGGCTACGCAGGGTGGCCCATTTGCTATGTAATGTAATTTATAAACCATAGACTACTGACATTCGTTGAAAGAGGTTTTGATGTGGCGGGTACCAAATCAAGATTATACTTAGTGCCATTTTGAATAAAATTACATTTCTGTAGCCAGCCGCATGCATTTACTGGCGAACAGACCTTGCAGATTTCAGTGGAATCTTAAACAAAATGTGTTGA